TTTAACAAAATTACGCAATAACAACAAGACACGAAAACAACAAGTAAACACAACTGATCCAAAATCACGAATTGCGAAGACACACCAAACGTATACACAAACAGTACAAATAACCTCGCGGATCATGTCTTGGTGGAATTATTTTGAAGAATTGCAGGACTTACACCAGTACGCCTACAACCCTTCTCCAGTTGACGATTGTAAGTTGTGGAATGTCCAGACACAAACAAGATTAACCAACAATTACATCAATTGGAACTCACACAACTATTTAACACAAACATATGTACAATCAACACATCAAATGTTGTGGATTCTGACACGACAAACTACCCTTGAAGAACCGTAGGACTTACAGCAGTACGCCTACATTCCTTCTCAGGTTGATGATCCAAGTGGAAGTCGTCCGGACACAAACAGAATTACCAACAGCTAGATGACAGATGATATCAATTCAGTATATACAATATGAACATATGTGCAAAATCACACACCAAGCACATTGGACTGCTCATTGATGCGCTACCCTTTGAAGAACTGTAGGACTTACAGCAGTACGCCTACAACCCTTCTCAGGTTGACGCTCTAGGTTGGAAAATCGTCGCAGAGTTCATTTGCTAACTTCCTTCTATCAGCTATATCCTCAAATCTGAACGGCAACACGCCCATGTCATTGTATCGTAGAATATAGATGACCAACAAACACACGACATATCTCATCAACCAAGTATAGAAACAGAGTAATTTACACCAAAGATAATAACATTCAAATAGTAACTTGAAACTAGAAATGCCTTTATTCGTGCAAGTCAATTTAACAATAACTCTCTCCTTTACACTTGGCTTATCCACACTAAACTGACCATTGATATTCGTCCTTTCAAACGAACTGATACTACCATAGTCATTGCACAAGATACTTGAGTTGATGGGTGTCTGTTTCATTGTGGATGACAGCACCAACGATGACTGAGTGACACAAGGTGATGAACTTAGTGGTGGATCAGAAGCTGTTCTTGTTCGGCCCTCAGATAGTTGTCCAACTGCAAGATTACCACCACTGCTGTCTTTCACTACTAGTTCGGGTTTAGCACTATCATCTGATGATAGGTGGGCTACACGCTGATCAATTACACTGACTGTCTCACAAGTATGCACACCTTCTGGAACTGCATCTGCGTTCAATTCTACTTCACGTTGTAGTTGTACAGAACCTTTATTTAACTTAGCAGTAGTAGGCATATCCCTCATCTCATCATGATCAACCAAAGACAAATGTGAAGTATCATGATCATTATCACGAATATTCACTTTACCGTCAACTTCATCATTTTCAAACTCTTTAATAACAGAAGTAGACAATTTTGGTTCCTCCTCACAAATCATTAAAGGTTTTATATCTTCACTCTGACTAGTTATACTTTGTAAACTTGTAGGGTCAGAACTGCACTCTGAAGCAGCAACTCTATTCTGTGACACTTTATTCAACAACGGCTTACCAGTTGCAACTACAGACTTCTTCACCGCACCGTTATCGTCACACAATTCGGAGTCAGACCTGGAGTTTACATTTAGCTTATCACTGAACTTGCTCACCGGTTCACAGTTCACTTCTGTATGCACCTCTTGCACACGTGTAAAACAAAACCGTGTTTGTCTTGCATCTTGTAACCTATCAGTTGAGGATGTACTACGAAACCTGTTACACTCACTAGGTCTATATGCATTACTAGACATCATGGAGCTTTCTCGATAACCACCTCTCTGAGGCCTACTCGTCATCAATGATTGCATTTTGATCTCAGACTGCTCTATTCTAGGGGTGAGATGTAATAGACTGGCAAACTTGCTCATAGATTGATTGACACTAGTATTTACCAGTTTCAGGATATCATCAAACTTTGGCTCGATACCCTCATCCTCCATACGGGAGCTCATCTTCACCCACTTCCTTTGCAGTCGAGTAGGTAGACGTCTTGCTATTACTTCTAGTATAAAACTCGAGTTGAGGTCACTCGTGCGATTCATCGAAATCATTCCATTCTTGTAAATTAGCAAATTATCCAAAAACTCAGTGAGTGCCTGGGAGTCATCCTGTAATTGACCACCATTACCCTTAACAGCCTCGAATAATTTCCCTGCAATCATCGAAGGTCTTCCAAACCTTTGACGTAATATGCTCATAGCCTCGTAGTAGCCCTCTTTTGGCTTCATAAACTTACAGCACTGTATAGCTCTTGCAGCATCTCCAGTGCAATATCTCATCAAATACATTAACTTCAATTCATCATTTAATAAAAAACCACTGAACATGATCTCAAACTCCTTTACAAATTGTAAATAATCAGCCGGGTTTCCATCAAAACACCGTGGTTCAAATTTAGGGAGTTTGATGTTCCTATTATCCCTGAACGGCGAAACAGTAACATCAACCATGTCATGCTTAACATCAGACACATCGTTACAATTAACAGACAAGTCACCATGACTTACTTTCCTGTTTGCATCCAAGACACTCTGTCCCTTCTTTGACCCAGGCATTGTTGAACTTGACCCAATTCCCAAAAACTTCCAGATATTGCTTGTTCAAAGAGGACTTGACCGCCACCAGGAAAGATGAACGGCGACTATCCAAACTTTCACCAACTGTTTCAATCCGCCAGATCTGTTTCTATCGTCAGAAACTGTCAATCACGTCTCATAAACCGTTAATGCCCAGCTCTCACTACGCTCGGGCCCGCGCTGTTCTTCGAAGATTTCGGAAACGCTTAGTTATAACGGACGAAAAAACCAAAACACCGATCTGCCGCTTGAGATTTGTTTATTGTTACACCAACATATAAAAGGAATAAGCGAACTAAGCAAACTAAGGTCTGAAAACAAATATTACAATAATAAATCATTGTTACTTCTGACGATGGTTCAATCTTCTTTCTGAACAGCGACCGATGAGACGATGACTGTCGTATTGATGCCTCCGCGAAAATTGGGGAAGTTGATTTTGAGCAAACAACCAAGAATCGATCTTTCAATCTTCAACTTCAATGACAAGGAGGCACACAGATACATTGTAAAAGTGTTTATTAAACAAAAATAGATTTTACATTTACATATAATTCAGATGAGTAGTCTTCTGTTGATGTTAGCAGGTTGTTACAGCGTACACAGCACACTCATACCTCCATAAGTCTAAAAAGGTTTAAGAAAAGCATTATTAACATGGGCAGTACATAAATAAAAAATTTAGATGTCTGCCTGATTAGTATTGACACTTGATCACTTCACAAACACTATCTATTAGTAGAAGCTAAATAGTTCTCACTGAACATAAGTAAACTCGAAATTTATCGTTGGCCGATATGTAGTAGGTTCAGAAAACACTATGATATGTAGCGCAAACTTACTTAGATCTGAACTGCATAAAGTGAGGCACACTTCAGCCTGAATATTATATAATCTGTACTTACCCATTGGGTGGTTGGATTAAGACAGTCTGACTATTTCATTTCAATCATTATGACACGTTTGTTTATGTGGAGGTTAACTTCTGAAGCCGCGGTTTCAAATTCATCCTCGTGCGCTCCTAGCCCGGTAAGTTAAGTGTTGGTAGTGCAGTGTCTATTTTAAGTTTGTTCAAATGGATACTGAAAGTGGAGTAGTATTAAGTGTGAGTAATGTGAATCCCCCTAGACACCTTAGAAGTACTTTATTTTTTTCAATATAACCTTGTGCTTCAGTTTGGTTCTAAAAAGAGACATATCACCGATCCACAGTGTATAGAAGAAATAAAAGATTGAAGTTGCAGTTGCTTAGTGACCTAGCCAAGAGAATAATTCCCGATTTAAGCGTCGGGCCCGGTGAATGTCTTGTAGATGTAACTCCTCGTAGCGTCGAAAACGTGCATACTGACATGCAAATCACCTAACCAAGTGGGTTTCTTAGCTTTTTCATTTGATGATTTATGAGGTGATGCCACTGGCGCTCTGTCACAATAACAATAACAATTTTTGCTTTATTCCGAAAACAGTGCAAATGATACAGCAAGGAATTTTAAGCATTCGGTACAATATTGCATCTAATTTACTCAGAAACGACAAAAAAACAGTACGTAATAATAATAATAATCAAACGTTGTTATAGCAGCTATGTAGGAAATAACAATATGCGATACTGGGTAAAATATGCATGAAGTATAAAATTATAGTAATAATAGCAATAACAACTAAAATGAAATAGCAAAGTTGTAATTAAACGATAGAAAGGGTGACACCATAAAGTTACAGCAAGATGAACAATGAAAGGGTCGATTCACTTTGCTAATTACATAGTAACTTATATATTTCATGTCTTCATCACATAAAATACGGGCTAAATACGGTATTGTAGGATTTTTGTACTTAATGGTTCGAGCATATAACTTCTTATATTGACTTCTCGTCCTACCTGATGAGATGCAAGGGGATAGTTGTGAATAAAGGGGGTGCAGGGGGCCTGACAGTACGGCCTTTGCACATTTTGTACAGTTCCCATGATGCCTGTAGCGTAGATGGCACTGAAATCGAAACCAAGTCAAGCATTAAATACCTTGGATTAGTTCTTTCCTCTGACCTTTCATGGTCATCCCACATCTTATATATCTCTAAGAAAATGTTTCGTCTTACCTTCTACATTACCAAGTTTAGACAACCAGGTATCAACCAACCTTTACTTCTGCAGTTTGTAAACTCCTGTATTTTACCTATTGTACTCTATTGCTCTCCGTTAATCCCACGAGAAATCTTCCAACAACACAACAGGGTAATTCGAAGGCAAAACCTGGGGTGACAGCCTTCAAGGTTATGATGACCATTAACATTTCGATGGTTGATCGTGAGAAGATAATGCGACTGCTTAAACGGCATCTTCCACGTTTACCAACGAATATAAGACACCTTCTGACTATTTTTGATGATGAATTCTCTTGAAGTGTGGTCACGTTATGCTGACTGACTGATGATATCTCAAGTTGAGGAAAAGCTTCTTATGTAATCATTATGAGCAGACAGATAGGTTAGATAATGAATCCAAGTAAAGCATCTACTTTTTGGCCAACCAGGTGGTGGAGATAGTAATACGCCTTTTAATTGACTTTCATTCACTGGCACAATTTCTAGCATACCAGCATAAGCATTAAACTGGACAGTGTTGGAATTATCTGATCTTTTCAATTTTGTCGACTCATTTCCACGTGGATCGTCTAATTCGACTAGAAAATATCGTGAGTTCAAGACTTTAACAACTGTTGCTGGCTGTACAAGATACGGTTTAAGTGGAAGAGCAGCCTCCAGCTTCCAACCCACTTTAAACTCACGAAGAGGGTGAGCATAATTATTGTTACTACCAGTAGTAAAATAAAGATTTCAGTAGAAGAGAATCGACAGATTTAGATAAGTTATTATATGTAGCTGGACATTCACCATGTATAAATGTACCAATATTTGTAATAACACGTTCTAATACACACCCTGGAGGTGGACAATACTTCAGATGATACGACTTTCTACAACGAAGTCGATGTAAACGTCGAAGAAGATGAAATAATTGTTTAATTTATTCTATCTTCGTCGACGTTTACATCGACTTGGTTATAGAAAGTCGTATCATCTGAAGTATTGTCCACCTCCAGGGTGTGTATTAGAACGTGTTATTACAAATATTGGTACATTTATACATGGTGAATGTCCAGCTACATATAATAACTTATCTAAATCTGTCGATTCTCTTCTACTGAAATCTTTATTTTACTACTGGTAGTAACAATAATTATGCTCACCCTCTTCGTGAGTTTAAAGTGGGTTGGAAGCTGGAGGCTGCTCTTCCACTTAAACCGTATCTTGTACAGCCAGCAACAGTTGTTAAAGTCTTGAACTCACGATATTTTCTAGTCGAATTAGACGATCCACGTGGAAATGAGTCGACAAAATTGAAAAGATCAGATAATTCCAACACTGTCCAGTTTAATGCTTATGCTGGTATGCTAGAAATTGTGCCAGTGAATGAAAGTCAATTAAAAGGCGTATTACTATCTCCACCACCTGGTTGGCCAAAAAGTAGATGCTTTACTTGGATTCATTATCTAACCTATCTGTCTGCTCATAATGATTACATAAGAAGCTTTTCCTCAACTTGAGATATCATCAGTCAGTCAGCATAACGTGACCACACTTCAAGAGAATTCATCATCAAAAATAGTCAGAAGGTGTCTTATATTCGTTGGTAAACGTGGAAGATGCCGTTTAAACAGTCGCATTATCTTCTCACGATCAACCATCGAAATGTTAATGGTCATCATAACCTTGAAGGCTGTCACCCCAGGTTTTGCCTTCGAATTACCCTGTTGTGTTGTTGGAAGATTTCTCGTGGGATTAACGGAGAGCAATAGAGTACAATAGGTAAAATACAGGAGTTTACAAACTGCAGAAGTAAAGGTTGGTTGATACCTGGTTGTCTAAACTTGGTAATGTAGAGGTAAGACGAAACATTTTCTTAGAGATATATAAGATGTGGGATGACCATGAAAGGTCAGAGGAAAGAACTAATCCAAGGTATTTAATGCTTGACTTGGTTTCGATTTCAGTGCCATCTACGCTACAGGCATCATGGGAACTGTACAAAATGTGCAAAGGCCGTACTGTCAGGCCCCCTGCACCCCCTTTATTCACAACTATCCCCTTGCATCTCATCAGGTAGGACGAGAAGTCAATATAAGAAGTTATATGCTCGAACCATTAAGTACAAAAATCCTACAATACCGTATTTAGCCCGTATTTTATGTGATGAAGACATGAAATATATAAGTTACTATGTAATTAGCAAAGTGAATCGACCCTTTCATTGTTCATCTTGCTGTAACTTTATGGTGTCACCCTTTCTATCGTTTAATTACAACTTTGCTATTTCATTTTAGTTGTTATTGCTATTATTACTATAATTTTATACTTCATGCATATTTTACCCAGTATCGCATATTGTTATTTCCTACATAGCTGCTATAACAACGTTTGATTATTATTATTATTACGTACTGTTTTTTTGTCGTTTCTGAGTAAATTAGATGCAATATTGTACCGAATGCTTAAAATTCCTTGCTGTATCATTTGCACTGTTTTCGGAATAAAGCAAAAATTGTTATTGTTATTGTGACAGAGCGCCAGTGGCATCACCTCATAAATCATCAAATGAAAAAGCTAAGAAACCCACTTGGTTAGGTGATTTGCATGTCAGTATGCACGTTTTCGACGCTACAAGGAGTTACATCTACAAGACATTCACCGGGCCCGACGCTTAAATCGGGAATTATTCTCTTGGCTAGGTCACTAAGCAACTGCAACTTCAATCTTTTATTTCTTCTATACACTGTGGATCGGTGATATGTCTCTTTTTAGAACCAAACTGAAGCACAAGGTTATATTGAAAAAAATAAAGTACTTCTAAGGTGTCTAGGGGGATTCACATTACTCACACTTAATACTACTCCACTTTCAGTATCCATTTGAACAAACTTAAAATAGACACTGCACTACCAACACTTAACTTACCGGGCTAGGAGCGCACGAGGATGAATTTGAAACCGCGGCTTCAGAAGTTAACCTCCACATAAACAAACGTGTCATAATGATTGAAATGAAATAGTCAGACTGTCTTAATCCAACCACCCAATGGGTAAGTACAGATTATATAATATTCGGGCTGAAGTGTGCCTCACTTTATGCAGTTCAGATCTAAGTAAGTTTGCGCTACATATCATAGTGTTTTCTGAACCTACTACATATCGGCCAACGATAAATTTCGAGTTTACTTATGTTCAGTGAGAACTATTTAGCTTCTACTAATAGATAGTGTTTGTGAAGTGATCAAGTGTCAATACTAATCAGGCAGACATCTAAATTTTTTTATTTATGTACTACCCATGTTAATAATGCTTTTCTTAAACCTTTTTAGACTTATGGAGGTATGTGTGTGCTGTGTACGCTGTAACAACCTGCTAACATCAACAGAAGACTACTCATCTGAATTATATGTAAATGTAAAATCTATTTTTGTTTAATAAACACTTTTACAATGTATCTGTGTGCCTCCTGTTGTAGTGCGATTGTGTTCCAGTAACATTAGAAGCACGCGCTGAGGTAGGAATTGAGAGTAAACTATTTGGAGTAAATGATGCAGCTGGGAGACTTTTGTTGACGCGATAAGACGAACAGATAAGAACGTGCCGTGTTCTGTGGCTGCGAACCGTAGGCACTGTGGTTTTAATTATTATGATAACCGTAGTTGCACTGAGTTATAAGTCTAACAGATTGAGGTTATAATAGAAGGCTCTTGTCGCCTGTGTTAATCCTCGCGGTATATATCTGCAGAGATCCTGTTTCTCTTTGAAAGCGTTCACCGATGGAACTGTTACTACCGTATCAGGTAAGGAGTTCCAGTCGTTGACCACTCTGTGAGAGAATCGAAATTCCAGAGGTATTTTATTCGACCTCGGTTTGAGCACCTTCCTGTGGTGATCTCGTAAATGTATCGTAGAGGGAGAGAAAAGGTTTAAAAGGTCAATCCCTTGATCACCCTTTAATATGCGGTGAGCCAAAATTAAGTCGCCTCTCCTCCTTCGGTATGATAATGGGGAGAGATTTAAATGCTCTATCCCCTTACCATGAAAAAGGTGTGAGATACCACTGACTAGTTTCGTTCCTAACTTCTGTACTCTCTCCAGGATATGTGCGTCCTTTTTGAAGCATGGATTCACCGCTTTACGCAGTATTCTAGATGAGGTCTGACATATGTTGCATAGAGTACTTGGAACATACCCTCGTGTAGTCGTTAGAAAGGCCTTACGAAGTGCCCATAGCTTTCGAAAAGCTTTAGCTGCACCTCGATTAGAATTTTCCGTTGTTTTTAAGTCATGGCTTACAGTAATTCCTAAGTGTTTTTTGTCCCCTAACACCTGGGAGTGCGACGTTTAAGACTTCAGACCTAGGCGCATCACTCCGCTTTTCTTGAAATTGATTTCCAGACTCCGAAGGTTACTCCATTCGGCTAATTTATCTAAATCGTTTTGTAGTAGCAACGTATCATCTTTACTATTTACAGTTTTCCATATCTTAAAATCCTTTGCAAATAGTCAGGAAGTTGAAGTATATGTACAATCTGTCTTCATGGTACATTGCGACTCGCAGAAATCACAAGCACACTATCTCAGGTAGATTTATTTTCACTTTGTGACTATGAATCACGAATCAGTTTATATGTTCTGGTAAGACGACAGATAACTCGAAACGCTTTATAATCCCAATACCTCCTCTGAGATTCGGACATATTTACTTTATTTGACTACAACATTATCTTTTTATCATTTAGCATCTCGGAATATCTACTCTAATTTAGTATTTCAAAGATAGCCTTATATGCGTACTATGTACCTCACAACTTACGCAAAGTCTAATATTCAGTCTTCTAAAGTTGAATATACAAACATAAAACGGGGAGTATATTTATTAATGAATTAACGTGTAAAACAAAATCAATGACACTGCGGATATCTTCTTAAGCACCCAACTCCATGAAATCCCCGAAAGTAGCTATCACCTGAAAAAGAAATTGAGCAATCAAAAGATGTGGACATTGTGGTTATTATAAATACAAAATTTAAGTGATAGAGAATACTAATTAATGCATTGAATTGTGTATACTTACGTCATTCAATATTTTTCAAGCAGACAAAATGAACATTGAATCTGCCTGTAAACACCAAATCTATGCAGTATAAGAAGAAGTAAGTACCATGTGAAAATAATTCCTGAGTATTTCCGTAGATTTCCTTTAAAGAGATGCATGTGGAGGAGCTTTGAGACCATCAGCAAAAGTACACAACAAAGTAAGTGAAAACAACTAACAAAACGAACTAGCCTACCTCATCATGTGTATGTCTAATTCTTTTAACGGCAAAAAGCATCACTAAAAGTCTTTTTAATGTGTGTCTTGAAGTAATTTGACGTTTTCTTAACGAAACATTACGTAATTCAACTAGAAGACACGACTGTACGATCCAAAGATCGATATATCGCAAGCCGACATGGAGGGGACAGTTTATCAACTTCCAGAGCTTCGTCCCACTGATACGAAAGCGAATCCTGGTACGTACACTAAGTCCAAGGATTAGGAGTATTCAATTCAATGATGTAACTACAGCATTTGGCTTACCATCAGTAACTGCACTGAGAGGTTTCCACATGCTTGATGGGGTTTTATATGA